AGTATACTGGTAAAATAGGAGAATAGGAAAGTCACCCCACATATAACCACTAGTGATGCCTCATTACTACACTGTCACTCACTGCTTTCCCTTCACCTCATGCCCCCCCCCACCCATCCCTCGGGTGCCTCTCACCCCCCCCCCCACCCATCCCTCGGGTGCCTCTCACCCCCCCCAGGTCAGCAGTGTGCGCCTCACCAGCTCTCACTGGTCTGGCCAGGTTACACCCTCGAGGCCAAGATTACTCAAGTGTATGAGTATGTGGCCCGCAGCTGCTGCCAGCGTCCATCACAGCCGCTCCTCACACCTCGCCCTCACGCCTCACGCAAATCCAACCACATCTCCAAGATAAACAAATATTGTGGTATGCAAGTAGCAAGATAATGTAGGATGAGTCACAACATCCCGGATATTCCCAGGTAACCTCCATTATTGCGTCAAGCAGAGCAAGGTGGCATTGGCGGGACTGGCATCCACCCCCCCCCCTCCTGCCCTCTCCCCCAGGTACAGAAAGGGGGGGAAAGGCCCCCTCCCCGCTCAGCCCTTCCCCTTCCAGGTACCGAGATGGAAGGGAAATACCCGAGAGTGCCCAACAAGCAGAATATTCCTGTTGTCAGTCGTATTAAAATGTTGGGACTTTCCGCAAGACTGTCAGACGGCGGTTTACAGCGCGTGATGTAAAGGTGTCAACTTTACCATCATTGCCATACAAGGATTCGCCTTTGTGGTCAAATCAGAACTCTCGAAACTAACTACATGTAGGTAACCCTTCACTCAGTATGGGGATAGATAAAGAGGACACCGCGCCAGATGAGAGTCAACGCCGCGAGAGGCGGGACCAAAGAGCCGAAGATCAACCCCCTCCCCCCGCAAGCACAATCAGATGAGGACACATTAACAGGGTTAATGATACTAACTTGTTAAAACACAAGTTAGTACCTAGAGAAGACAGCCGGCGGTGGGAGGTGTCAGGGCGTGGCGCCTGCAAGGTCACTCTGGGGACCCCTTACTCCAGGCAACACCTGAACAACTGGGACCCTTATACCTTCACTCAATCGAGACTTCAATCTACTCGGGCTTAGATGGAGAATGGCAAACTAACACTATTGCAGATCAACCTGGGAATAATCAACCGCAGGTCAGAGAACTGTCGAGATTCTGTGACAAAATCTCGTCCAACCAACATATTACAGAACCACAATGAAGAAATAATCAGACATTACAAGCTCATTGAAGTTCAAACATTAATAACGGTAGTAAGCCCAAGAGAACCAACAAGCGAGAAAAGGTATTCATTCAATTCAATTTCAATAAGAAGATTGACGGGAAAAATATAGACTTGCAACTATTCAATGGGAGACTGTCTTAAGCGACAAAACTCCCACACAGGGAATAGCTCAACTGACAGCTGAAGCTTACAAGGTCTGCTTGAAGCACGTGCCTGTGAGGAGGGGCAGAAAGAGGACCACTCTAGAATGAGAACGCAGACTACTGTACAAGAGGAAACAAATAACTTTCAAGATGTATAAATAGAATAGTGTACCAGTAACTATTTTGACATTTATCTCTTGTAAATATATATTTCACAATCTTCTTTATATGGTGTCAACAATCAGCGAGTAGTGTTGACCACGCCGGGGGGGGGGCGGTGGTGGTGTAATATTACCCAGGTCCCCGAGGCCTGTTAACTAATCCAGGCACAGAGTACCTAAATTTTGTCAGTTCTTTCACCCTTGTTTAATTTTAAATGTGGTTATTGTCCTTTTATATAAATCGCCAGAAGTAAATTCTCAACAGTTTAACGACAAACTTATGACAATAGGACTCGGCCTAGAAAACATCACAAACCCTGACCCCCTAACATCAACTGGCTTGACGACTTCAATTCGAGGCATCTGAAATTGAAAAACTTAACTTGTATAATTATCCCAGAAAGAATCCCAGGAGGCAGTCTAAACGAAGTCTAACAAATGACCTCTTGCTGATGTGTGACAGATTTCCTTCAAAGTCGCAAACAGTAGAACTAGGACTTGGTTCTAGTATTTGTAGATTTCTAGTATTTCTAGTATTAACTATGTCGTAGCTCAGTCGTAGCAGCGTCTGGGATGCTCTCGGACGTGGGTTCGAACCTTCGTCACGGCCCTTGTGGATTTGTTCAGTAGAACTAGGAATGTAAACATCCTAGATCTTATTTTTTACAAATAATGATGAACAGAATAGGGACATGATTACAAATATATTTTACTCAGATCACAACGTCATCCAGGTTCAGACAAGCATGGGCGATAGGTGTGTGCAGCCAGTCTCAAATCCAAGGAGGAGGAGAATTCAACAAATTACATTTTTATAACACGATTAACAGGGAATAATTAATTATCAAAAGGGGCCAAGCCGGGGAGACTGTAGCAGGGAACAATTAAACCAAGACCTCGCAGAAACATGCTTGAAAGAACAGCTAGCTAGTCCTTAAACCAGTGCTTCAAGAAAATAGGGAGAGTAGCGCTAGAAATATGCGCGTCACATCCCACTAAGAGTCAAACAGGAACGAGACCGGCGCCCCCTCTGTAGGTGAAGAATACAAACAGCAGAACATCTCAGTCGCTCCACTATCCCAGCAACGACGAGGAAGGCTACGTAGGATCAGGATAAACGCTTGAGCTAAAGCTGCAAGAATCAAAATCCATATGGAATGAGAGCCATAAGTGAAACAGAGGAATCCAAAATACTTTCTCTCCTATACCTACTTGCCAAAGTGGTGGGCACCATTCCCTTCCCTCCGTCCCATCCCAAATCCTTATCCTGACCCCTTGCAAGTGCTATATAGTCGCAATAGCGTGACGCTTTCCCCTGATAGTCCCCTCCCCTTCCTATACCAGCTTCATGGGTTTCTGGGAGTTGTTCTAATTCCCGTTCTGACTTGTGAGAGTTTGGTCCACCAGGCTGTTGCTTGCAGCGGCCCGCAGGCCCACATACCCACCACAGCCCGGTTGGTCCGGCACTCCTTGAAGAAAACTATCTCTTTTTCACTTTAAGATGTCCACGGTTATCCCGGCAATATTTCTTATGCTTGCTGGGAGATGTTAAACAACCGCGGACCTCTGATGTTTATACAGTGCTCTCTGATTGTGCCTATGGCACCTCTGCTCTTCACTGGTTCTATTCTGCATTTTCTTCCATATCGTTCACTCCAGTACGGTGTTATTTTACTGTGTAGATTTGGGACCTGACCCTCCAGTATCTTCCACGTGTATATTATTTGATATCTCTCTCGTCTTCTTTCTAGAGAGTACATTTGGAGAGCTTTAAGACGATCCCAATAATTTAGGCGTTTTATCTCGTCTATGCGTGCCGTATATGTTCTCTGTATTCCCTCTATTTCAGCAATCTCTCCTGCTCTGAAGGGGGAAGTGAGTACTGAGCAGTACTCAAGACGGGACAACACAAGTGACTTGAAGAGTACAACCATTGTGATGGGATCTCTTAACACACCCACTTTTGTTCACAGAATATTTTTCTCTATCTCGCTCATGTGATTAAACTTATAACGTTTAGTATGTGATCCACGCAAGATGCTCTGCACTCCCTGCCAATCGGTGCACATGCTCCTCTACACCCACTCAGTATGAAGAAAATATGCACAAAATATGCATACGAGTATATTGGAAACTTAAATTTTAAACTTCCGAAATTAATCTTAAGTGTGAGGTGTCGGGGATTACCTGTCGATAATTAAGATAGTTCTGTCGTAGATTGACCAGACCAAGGGAGCCTGTCGGCCGAGCGGACAGCACGCTGGACTTGTGATCCTGTGGTCCTGGGTTCGATCCCAGGCGCCGGCGAGAAACAATGGGCAGAGTTTCTTTCACCCTATGCCCCCTGTTACTAGCAGTAAAATAGGTACCTGGGTGTTAGTCAGCTATCACGTGCTGCTTCCTGGGGGTGGAGGCCTGGTTGAGAACCGGGCCGCGGGGACACTAAAAAGCCCCGAAATCACCTCAAGATAACCTGACCACACACTAGAAGGTGAAGGGACGACGACGTTTCGGTCCGTCCTGGACCACAATAGACTTGAGAATGGTCCAGGACGGACCGAAACAAGTCTATTGTAGTCCAGGACGGACCGAAACGTCGTCGTCCCTTCACCTTCTAGTGTGTGGTCTGGTCAACATACTTCAGCCACGTTATTGTGACTCTTCGCCTGTTTCTGTCGTAGACTTTCCTGGTGATTGTCTAGTCTACAAGGCTGTGTCCGAAGCCCCAAGGCCCACAGAGCCATTACAACCAGGCTCATCAGGTATCACTAGTAAAACTTGCCAAGTTCTCTCTCATGCAAGTTTCAATTGTTCCAGCTACATTTCTTGCATGTGATCCTTGTGAAATAGATGCACGAGGAATGTTCGCTGTTTGTGGAAACACAAGGAGCCTGATGGGAACTGTTCTTAGTTCCTGTTCGAACTGTTCGAACCGTGACGTAGGTTCGAACCCTCGTCACGGCCCTTATAGATTTGTTTCTCTGATGGGAATATTGTGGGGACTGGGTGAGAAACACAGGTGGAGGACCAGAGTGGGACAACCTTCAGACAGCCTCACCCATCACTGGCAGATGCAGCCAGAAATCTTTCATGAATATTAACCCAAACATGGAATTCCTATCAACATAATTGAAAAAAAAGATCCATCAAGAAAAGGAAGGAAACAAATCAGGGGAAAGCGCTAAGCCATTACGACTATATAGCACTCGCAAGGGATCAGGATAAGGATCTGGGATGGGAATAAGGTGGAAGGACCACCACCACCTTGGAGTTGTTCCAGGGGTTTAGCGTCCCCGCGGCCCGGTCGTCGACCAGGCCTCCTCGTTGCTGGACTGGTCAACCAGGCTGTTGGACGCAGCTGCTCGCAGCCTGACGTATGAATCACGGTCTGGTTAATCAAGTATCCTTTGGAGGTGTTTATCCAGTTCTCTTGAAGACACTAACGCCACAAACAAGGTATACACTCACCTGTCTTCCCCCGTGTCCAGCGCCTCCATCTCCGCTGTGACCTCGGCCATCTCATCTTTGAGTGTCTGCAGAGAAAGAAATATTAATTAACACATGCCCTGAGATATGGTCATTGTTAGTGTTATAGAGATGGTGATACACTACCGCTCACAGGATGAGTATGGGGTGCACAATAAACTACCGCTCACACGATGAGTATGGGGTGCACAATAAACTACCGCTCACACGATGAGTATGGGGTGCACAATAAACTACCGCTCACACGATGAGTATGGGGTGCACAATAAACTACCGCTCACACGATGAGTATGGGGTGCACAATAAACTACCGCTCACACGATGAGTATGGGGTGCACAATAAACTACCGCTCACGATGAGTATGGGGTGCACAATAAACTACCGCTCACACGATGAGTATGGGGTGCACAATAAACTACCGCTCACACGATGAGTATGGGGTGCACAATAAACTACCGCTCACACGATGAGTATGGGGTGCACAATAAACTACCGCTCACACGATGAGTATGAGGTGCACAATAAAATAACTCATTACTTTCATCTCATCAACAAACATTATGTGCGAACCTGCTCCCTCATACGTCATATACATGAATTAAGAAGAGCAATCCCAGATCAGAGCCTTGGGGGATCTCACTTTTTACATCTTTTCAGTGTGATACCTCTGACTATGGCCCTCTCTCTCTCCTGTCCGCCAGGTATTCCCTTATCCAGTTGCGTGTTTCCTAAGCTATTCCAGCCTGCTTCTCTACCTTGTACACCAGACTTTTACGAGAAGCAATATGAAATGTTATTTGTCAATCTAGTAAGATTAACCAGGCTAAGTGTGTGATTGAGATGAAACAATATACTGTGAACTAATCCCCAAGGGCCGTGATGAGGGTTCGAACTTACGCCCGGGATGATCCCAGACGCTGCCTTAGTCGACTAGGCCACGACATGGCCAAAAGAATTGAGTTTTTTTTAATCCTGAATTGAATTCCTGAATTTTGAATCCAAAACCTGAATTGAACTCAGGTTTTAGAATCTGGGTTTTAGAATTCACAAATCCCTTGTGGGTTTGTTCATTTGATGCATCACGCTATTGTGATCTGTGTGTACATATGTCGTGTTTATGAGAAGCCCCGGGCCAAGGACAGTGAGGTGCACCATCACTGGACAATGAACGTGTAAACAATAGTGTTGTTGACCAGCGGTGCTCCACGTGTCCCCAAACTCCCAGGTAACACTATTCTCACTCAGGGGGTAGGAGCTTATTCAGGGAAACGGGTCGTAAATGGCTTGGCTTGGAGAGTAAACATCAGACTCCAACTGGGGTTTACTGCACTTTTACTCCTCCCCCCCCCCCACCACCACAATCCCCAACTTCACAATACACCCCCCTCACTATACCTCACAATACTCGCTCCTCTCTAGCAGTCACCTTCCCTCTGTGTGTGTGTGTGTGTGTGCGTGTGTGTGTGTGTGTGTGTGTGTGTGTGTGTGTGTGTGTGTGTGTGTGTGTGTGTGTGTGTGTGTGTGTGTGTGTGTGTGTGTGTGTGTGTGTGTGTGTGTGTGTGTGTGTGCGCGCGCGCGCGCGCGCGCGCCCTCACATGTACACTTCAGACAATTTCACCACCACTGAAGACCTACTCCACCACCAGGGTAGGCGCGCCTTCCCCACCACTCCACCTCCACGACACTGCTACTCCACCACACACGCCACCACCAAGGCACCACACAACCACCACCACACCCCCACTACACACCACATAAAACACGGCCGTTCTCTTCATAGGCGACTTCATGACGACTAAAAGTATAGCCATCAGTAATCACTAACGTTATCTGTTAAGATATAACCCCTCTCTCAACTCCCCCCCCCACACACACACACGTACTTCAGCCCCCACCACACACCAGCAGGCGAGTACACAGTCCCCAGTTCTATTTCCGGGCAGGACTATACGTTTGGGCATATTTCCTTTCACCTAATACCTCTGCTCATTCAAACAGTGGTTGAGGTATCGAGGAATTATGCAACTGTTGGTGGTTGCATTCTGCATGAGGTCAGTAGTTGGGCTTTGGCACCCCTGCCCCCCCCCCTGACGACGGTATACTATAGTCTGAAGAGAGAGATAACAGGATTTATCTGCAGGCAATGTACGGGTGTAATGTGTGGTACACTTACACCCCCGGTCGGGACCCCCCCCCCCCCGCTCGGGGGATCGCGACTCTCTTTATATTTGACCCTGTGCTACTTGCCCTTGGGCCAGTACCACAGGGGTCAATTATACAAATGTGAATAGCAGAGGGGTGGAAAAAAGGGTGTTGACGTGGGGGAGGGGGGGAGGGGGGTTGTACCAGTTAGGGAAGGTGTCAAGATGCTCCACTCCAGTTGACATAACAAAGATGGCAGCAAGGTCACCACCCTACACCAGGACCCATCCACACACACGCCGCCTTAGCAACAACCAACACCACACCAACCACTGTTACCAACTACTGTAACTTTACTACTAGTCTCGGGCCTCTGATGTTGAGAGAGAGCTCTCTCATCGTGCCCAACAACTTGGGTTGGATAGTAGAGTGATCCAACTCACTTCTTGCAGGTCAGCGTTCAATTCCCGACCGTCCAAGTGGTGGGGCACCATTCCAATCCTTCACTATATCCAAAATCATCATCTTTTCCAAGTGCTATATAGTCATAATGGCTTGGTGCTTTTTCCTGATAATTACCTCACCTATCCCTCAGCGTACCTACTGAACCCATTGTTCACCGTATGAACAAATAATAAATAAATAATGAAAAAATCAATTTGAGCAGTGAGGGGATTCGAACCCCCGACCTAGATATTACTACTAATATTACTTGAACTTACTTCCCCCCCCCCCTTTCCTCGAAATATTCAAGTGCCCCCCCCCCCTCACTGTATCAGAGACAGAAGGGGAACATTAGTGGGTGACGCCGGAAATTCTCGTGTTGCGATAAACCCTTGGTACACTGGTATGGTGCCCCCTCGCTCCTCCCCTACACCGCCCCCCCCCCCACACACACCTCCCCTACACCCTCCCCCCCACAAACCTCCCCTTCACACCCCCTCTCACTCCTCCCGTTCCCCTCACATCTTCCCTACACACCCCTCGCTACACACATCCTTCAACAAGAAGCAAAGTACAATGCCTCAAGTCAAATTTACACTCCGATCGAAGAGCTCTCCCTCTCCCTGTGGATGTCTTCATGAGGCACTGACAGTGTCTTGCAAGAAGTACCGGACCAACCGGGCTGTAGTCATTCTATTATGCAGGAAGAACCGCACGTCTATGGGTCATCCAATAAGGTTAGCAGACGTCTAGATAAATAATAAATATGTTTATTCAGGTAAGGTACATACATACAAGTGATGTTACATTAATGGATTGATATATAGAGCTAGTACATACAATGCCTAAAGCCACTATTACGCAATGCGTTTCGGGCAAAGGTGTTACCACTGCTAGGCTTAGGCTCGGCTACAAGTACTTCTGGCAGTTTGTAACATCTGCTGATGTAGATCTGACTAAATGTAAAAACTCAGTAGTCATTCGCACACTTTGCGTCATTATATAATGAAATGCGAACACAATTGAATTCTGAGATAACTAGTGTTCAAGAAATGTTTAAGTATTTCATTCATAATGATGTACTGCCGGGAATCTTAGCCAAGTATCCAAAGTTTGCTTACTGTAGGTGTAGCCTGCACATGACTGTAAAGCTGCCGCCCAGTTGGGTGGGTGTGGAGCACATGACTAAAGCTGCCGCCCAGTTGGGTGGGTGTGGAGCACATGACTAAAGCTGCCGCCCAGTTGGGTGGGTGTGGAGCACATGACTAAAGCTGCCGCCCAGTTGGGTGGGTGTGGAGCACATGACTGTAAAGCTGCCGCCCAGTTGGGTGGGTGTGGAGCACATGACTGTAAAGCTGCCGCCCAGTTGGGTGGGTGTGGAGCACATGACTAAAGCTGCCGCCCAGTTGGGTGGGTGTGGAGCACATGACTAAAGCTGCCGCCCAGTTGGGTGGGTGTGGAGCACATGACTGTAAAGCTGCCGCCCAGTTGGGTGGGTGTGGAGCACATGACTGTAAAGCTGCCGCCCAGTTGGGTGGGTGTGGAGCACATGACTAAAGCTGCCGCCCAGTTGGGTGGGTGTGGAGCACATGACTGTAAAGCTGTCGCCCAGTTGGGCGGGTGTGGAGCACATGACTGTAAAGCTGCCGCCCAGTTGGGTGGGTGTGGAGCACATGACTGTAAAGCTGCCGCCCAGGTGGGTGGGTGTGGAGCACATGACTGTAAAGCTGCCGCCCAGTTGGGTGGGTGTGGAGCACATGACTGTAAAGCTGCCGCCCAGTTGGGTGGGTGTGGAGCACATGACTGTAAAGCTGCCGCCCAGTTGGGTGGGTGTGGAGCACATGACTGTAAAGCTGCCGCCCAGTTGGGTGGGTGTGGAGCACATGACTGTAAAGCTGCCGCCCAGTTGGGTGGGTGTGGAGCACATGACTGTAAAGCTGCCGCCCAGTTGGGTGGGTGTGGAGCACATGACTGTAAAGCTGCCGCCCAGTTGGGTGGGTGTGGAGCACATGGCTGTAAAGCTGCCGCCCAGTTGGGTAGGTGTGGAGCACATGACTGTAAAGCTGCCGCCCAGTTGGGTGGGTGTGGAGCACATGACTGTAAAGCTGCCGCCCAGTTGGGTGGGTGTGGAGCACATGACTGTAAAGCTGCCGCCCAGTTGGGTGGGTGTGGAGCACATGACTAAAGCTGCCGCCCAGTTGGGTGGGTGTGGAGCACATGACTAAAGCTGTCGCCCAGTTGGGTGGGTGTGGAGCACATGACTGTAAAGCTGCCGCCCAGTTGGGTGGGTGTGGAGCACATGACTGTAAAGCTGCCGCCCAGTTGGGCGGGTGTGGAGCACATGACTGTAAAGCTGCCGCCCAGTTGGGCGGGTGTGGAGCACATGACTGTAAAGCTGCCGCCCAGTTGGGCGGGTGTGGAGCACATGACTGTAAAGCTGCTGTCGGAAAATCCGACACC